AATATAAAAGATTCAAACATAATGCAGCCGAAATTCCTAAAATTCTTAATTAAAATTACTTTCTCACATGGTCAGAATGTAACACGATGCCAAGAGTGCATAAATAATGCCACAGGAATGGTAACTGATACAGTCGAAATTGCACTCATCATTCCAGGCGAATCCAAGCGCATTCTGAGTACTCCAACTATACTTTTACAATAATTCAGGTCAATTTGGAATTTTTCCCCGAATGTGGTGTGAATTTTAAAAATTCTTCGTTCAGGCTCATTCTTCTTCATTCCTGCTGATTCCGAATAAGCGTGACGAGGGCTTCATCCGAAGCATGCAGGCACCAACAGATCGCGGCCTGCATTGAAGCATCCCGAGGCCCTACCCAGTTTTGACTGTTAAGACTTTGTGTTTGGCCAATGCCAATTTCTTTTGCTAAGTATTTTTTCTTTTGGAATCATTTTTGAAACTTAAGATTATTTGTCTCTGTATGCCAATATTCATAACAAATGATCCATATGAAAAAAAAAAAAAAAACAAATTTTGACTTTAAAATAGCAATGTCGACAATAATTCTCAGTTACTCGCCTTTTACGGTATTTGATCTTAAATGTACCCAAAGTCTGTGCACTTTTGTATTTTACAAATAAAAATGGGAGAAATGAAAATTAACTATAAAATTGTATAAGTACCAGAAAAAAAATTACCAGTTCATTAAAAGAATATCATCAAACAGTCGTTCTTTTTAATTCTTTTTAATTGAAATGAAGATATTACAAGATCAAAGATGTTACACGATAAATGTGAAGACTTTTGCATATATTTCTATGCTTTAGTGTGGAGATCATAGAGAAGATAACCCACACGTCAGTTTTTGAAAGATGGATGTCGTTTTCATAAAGTATTGTCAGTATTTTACTTCAATGGTAACAAAGTGAACTTGCTGTTGTGATTCTTGATTGTTTGACAGATAATTATTATCAAAAGACTACACAGATGAACATTCATCAGAAAATATAACATGATATATGAAATGTTGAAAGTTGATCTTTTATGCGTGACGAAACATGACTTTAACACATGAAAATTTACTGCAAGTTTTTTTTTCTATCAGAGGTGCCGAGTGACTCCATCTTTCATTAGCTTTCATGCACTGTTATACATATGCTATTATCCCTAGAAACCCAATTAATTACATGAAAGACACTGTATGTTTAATTACATGAAAGACACATAAAATGACCAATCATGTATGTGCAAAGGCCTTTGCTATGGGATTTACTCGCCACAAATAATGACCTCAGACTAAAGGTGATACCACTATTACTATAAGCACTCGGTTGGAAATTGTGATGCTTATGAGTTATGGAATTGCAACGAATCACCATGCTTTTGCTCAGTAGCAATTTGCGATGCTCTCCAGTTAAAAAGCCCAGCATTACAATATGTAAAATCTGAGCAATATGTTTCATTTCGAGTATTGAAGGTCCTCAATTCTGTGCCTCAGCAGCCACCAATAGGTCAGCAGGGTTGATGGCTACTGCTGTAGGTAGGATACACCAGTCTATCATCATCCTTAGTGACAATGTATCTGATAAACTGTCCCTGTGGACTCAGTGCCACTATCCTGTTGTTGTAACAGTCAGCAATGAAGATGTGGCCATAGCTGTCTGTACACCTTACCCATGGTACATACAGCTGACCAGCACCTCTGCCTCTTGTGCCATGCTGGTACAATTGGTCACCAGTAAGTGGCAGCACATGTACACAGTCACTGAGCAAGCCTGATATCTCAATGTTAAAATGCAAACTTTAAACTGTTATGTGTTGTGAATCAGAGGGCTGTTCCCATAGTGTTTTCTGTGATGAAATTTTTACCAAAATGGTTATTTACAACTACTTAAGAAGTACTATCTAGTACTAGAGCACTGTCTTAATCATGGACAGTGTCAATCTATCGTCTTTTCAACGTGGTTAAATTCCATCTGCATTAAATTCTGTAGGGACTTTGGCTTGCCCTTATATTCATGAAGATATTTGATGTTGTGTGTAAATGAAGAAAGTACAGCATAGACAGCACTATAGACAAAAGCAGATGCAGATATATATATATCACTACTAGATTGTCTTAATTAAGTATATAACATTATTTTCAGCTAAATATTTGAAAGTTCTTTACAACTTCTAGATTGTCTTGGTTAATATATGTCATTATTTTCAGCTAAATATATACAAGTTCTTTACAACTACAAGATTTTCTTGTTTAATGTGTGTCATTATTTTCAGCTAAATATATACAAGTACTTTACAACTTCTAGATTGTCTTATTAAGTATGTGTCATTATTGTCAGCTAAATATTTACAAGTACTGGAATGTCTACACTGGCTCTGATGATGGTAAACAGCAGCAGATACTTCTCTGAGGAAACATCTAAACGTGTCATTAAATTGTTTTAGTACAGATGAGTATCACAACACAAATAATGCTATTAGTATAAAATGTGGGGAATATATATATTGCATCATGGAATGTCCCATTGTAGATTTTCAGCAGGTTTGCTCAAAATCACTAGAAAAACAAGTCACCTTATCTATCTGATGAGAATATCTAAAGAATGTGGTCCACTAGAAGAACAAGTTATAGGATATATCTGACTTTGTCATACCTTATGTCTACCAGGAGTGTGGTCCACTAGAAGAACAAGTTATAGGATATATCTGGCTTTGTCTTCTGTTATTATTTCCAGGAATGTGGTCCACTAGAGGAACAAGTTATAGGATATATATGACTTTGTCTTCTGTTATTTTTTCCAGGAATGTGGTCCACTAGAAGAACAAGTTATAGGATATATATGACTTTGTCTTACCTTATTTTTTCCAGGAATGTGGTCCACTAGAAGAACAAGTTATAGGATATATCTGGCTTTGTCTTCTGTTATTTTTTCCAGGAATGTGGTCCACTAGAGGAACAAGTTATAGGATATATCTGACTTTGTCTTCTGTTATTTTTTCCAGGAATGTGGTCCACTAGAGGAACAAGTTACAGGATATATCTGACTTTGTCTTCTGTTATTTTTTCCAGGAATGTGGTCCACTAGAGGAACAAGTTACAGGATATATCTGACTTTGTCTTCTGTTATTTTTTCCAGGAATGTGGTCCACTAGAAGAACAAGTTATAGGATATATCTGACTTTGTCTTCTGTTATTTTTTCCAGGAATGTGGTCCACTAGAAGAACAAGTTACAGGATATAACTGACTTTGTCTTACCTTATTATATCCAGGAATGTGGTCCACTAGAGGAACAAGGGATGGTGATGGGAGTCCTGGACAAGGGTTTTGATGTTTCATCCAGAATGGTTGTAAGTTATTTGTATCTCCTAACTCTCAATGGGGGGGGACTCATCCAGAATGGTTGTAAGTTAGTTGTATCTCCTAACCCTCAATGGGGGGGGGGGGACTCATCCAGAATGGTTGTAAGTTATTTGTATCTCCTAACTCTCAATGGGGGGTGGGGGGGAACTCATCCAGAATGGTTGTAAGTTATTTGTATCTCCTAACTCTCATTGGGGAGGGGGGGGGGGGATAAGTAAGAAAGTGAGTAGGAAGAATCAATATTTATAATATATCTTTAATTCTGTATGGTGGGTGTCAGGTCACTCAGATTTTAGAATTTAGATGTAATGTAACTCCAAATCCTTGTACAGGAAATTGTGTGTTTGGTTAGTCAAGTATAGTACAACATGCACTGCACTGTTTGAGATACTTGTCAAATTGATATAATAGGTCAATTATTGCAACTGATTACCATTTATGCAAATGACAACTGTGATTATGTTTAAAGTTTGCATTGTTACAATTCTTACGATAAAATAGATTCAATGTTACCAGTATAAGCAAATTAAGTAGCCGAGCACTCTATGACCATGCTGACGACTTTGGTATTCTCTTTCCAGGCCACAGTACATACACCAGTGGAGACTATTTAGAAGATCCACAGCTACCAATGAGATGACATTTTTTTTATTTCACTGAACAAGTAGCATGTGGAAAATGCCAATTCCCTTAGCAGTTGAGGGATAATTTGAAAAAATGTACCAAATTTGAGTACATTTCAGTCAAGGTGTGAAACAGTTGCAGGACTGAGACAGCAGATAATTTTTTTCAGCCTAGGCAACCACTCTGATTATTTAGAAGACATTTCCAGTATGTTGTTGTGAGAGTTGACATTTCTTGTTGACTGTGGAGAGAAGTTGGTATCTTCTGGTTCATCAGTATTTTTATCTTTAGTTTTTTATGTTTTATCAGTGAATGTTTCTGACACCTAAAGGGGTATTAATTTTAATTGTAATGTTTTTTAATGCAAGTTTGAATTATTTAAAATAATTTTACATTTTAGTGCTTTACCTGTGGAAATTTTTCTGTAAAATTTTGATGTGGAGTCAAATGCCTCTAATTTTAATTATTTTGTTGCTGCACAGTCGATACTGTCATGCTTTTCTATGTAAATTTATTTTATCAGCTGGGTGGAAAAAAATTGAACAACTGGTTATTGAAAAGTGGAGTTATTGTCACAGTGTCAAATGATTGCACACATGAATGCAGAACAGTGGAATGGTAGATTTGATAAAGGAGTCCTTTTTATCCAGATGAATGTATATTCAATATTTATAACCAGTTTTGCAAAATAAAGGTTGTTGTTTCAGTGCAAAAAGTATAAAATGAAAAAAAAAAAAAAAAGGTTAAATTCAAATCATCCTCAGTAGAACAATGTTTTCTGCAATTTTGTAGAAGCTGTACTTGATGACCAGCATTTTTTAACATTTCTGGGTGAAGATGTATTTAATGTACAATTATGAGCCCTACTGCTTTTTGTACTTTATCTTATATTCATTGAATACTATTGGAACATTGTGATGGCTTATAAGCATGCTGTTGTAGTATTTATTCCATGGCCCTCTGTGTCCATGCCCTAGGAAGAGGTTGGTCTTAGACGGCATGGAAAAAAAGTTGTCAGTTTTCCTAGGTTTATTACAATGAAATTGTTGATAATATATTAATGCAAGTTATTACATTCATTTGGCTGACCTTGAAACTGTCTTTCATTAGTGATATGTCCATGTTAAATATACAGTTGATACAATATGAAGTAAAAGATAAACTTGAATAAAACTTTTTTTTTCATTCTTGGATTTCCCAACCAAGTGCAGCTTTTACAAACTTGAGGTGACAATTTGAAACTGTTTGGTGCAGAGTCCCATTCACGGAACGTTCAGAAATTGTAATTTGTAGATAAAAAAATACTGAAATCACTGTTACACATTGTATGTAATAACTTCTTTTACGCAATGACTGCAGCACACGGTTGCTTCCCAAATCAATATGTGAAACAACAAAAGCAAAACTATGTTCAGTCACAATGGCTACCTTCTAAGAATATTGTAGCTTAAAAGCTAATTTTTGAGCAAAAAAAAAAAAAAAAAAAATGCTCAACCCACATTTGACAGACATCTACAAAAAACTTTAAAAGTTTCATGAAAATTGCAATATTTACTTAAATTTGTAAGCTTTTCAAACCAGTAAGTGGATATATATAATATAAATATGCTGTAAATGAAGTTAAACTACTATAATAGTTGATGGATGGATAATTATTAAAAATACTACATTGACATAACCTTCACTATTTTTGCAAACACGTTTTGCACTTCAAAACTTTTTAATAGACATGATAAAACTCTAGAATGAAATCTTAGACTTGGAAGTTTTTACAATAAGCAATATTATGTGTAATCTGGTAAATATTTTCAAAAAATCTTACCTAATATCCAGACATTTTACTTTTACTTATATTCCAACATTTCAATTAAAAAAATATACAAAGCTTGCAAATATACAGACACCAAGAAACAAGGCAGCAAAAGTTAAACTGTGAAATATTCAGACTACAGAAAAAAAGTGCACAAAATAATGTTTTGGCCAATTTTGATGCACTGTTACATAATAGCATAATCACTCTTACCCTCTTGTATAATGCACTACGGGTAACATGAAAAACTGGCAACTGATTCAGTTCCATGAGATATAAAAAGGCACTGAAAAAATTTGATACTTTATAGGGAGAACAGTGTCATTCGGTTCTATTTAGAACTATAATTCAGCTAGTCAAAATTCTAATTTCAAGAGGGGAATACTAGTGTGATTTTTTTTCAGAAACCAGGATCCCCCTGACCCCCTCCCCACCTAAATCCACCACTGGTAATTTATGGCTAACGCAATGAGGACGACAAAGAAGATGGCAAAGCGAACATCACGTACAAAGGAAAATATTAGTAATTCAAGCCTGTCAAATCTGCTGTCGAAATGCCGTTTGTTATCTTCGGCCGAGCTGCGTATTTCACACACTATTGTATCTATCTCCTGTTTGCTAAAGTTGAATTCCTGTATCTTTTTCACTTCCTTTGGATCTGCACCAAGTACTAGAACAGAAGCACAGGCGATTTCCCAATTTGTGCAGAATTTCTCCATGTCTTGGATCCCAAATGTGGCAGAATGCTGTATATAGTTCCTGACATTCTTAAGCCGTTGGATGTGGTCGATGAAACCTTGTGTTGTTTGTGGAGAGGAAGGTAAAGTGGCATTTTCTTTGAGCGCTGACCATTTCAGGTTGGCTTTGTCTGGGTGAAGTTTTCTTATCAATAACACCAGCAATGTAATGTCAAACGTTTCCACATCTGTATGACCAGAGGCAGGGTACAACAGATTCCACTGAGAAGCAAATATGACTTTTGTTTTCTTGAGTTTCTCAAGTTCCCTTATCACCTCATGCTTACCAAAAAACCGAAGCACTGCATCTTTATCAGTGATGTGCTCACCATTAGTGATGCCAGGCCTAACAACATCCTTGAGAAAGAAAGTTCTAATGACTTTCGTTCCAAGTTCAATAACGAGATAACTCAGCCTTGCAAACCTTTGTGTATAAACAGATGACACATCTGGGGCATTCGCACCTACTAATAGAAAAATATGATAATGATCAATGCTTTTTGTACAAGAATTTTATAGGGAAAGAGATAGAGTAGTACACTAGTGTGTGTTTGTGTAAAATATACAGCAACCACCACTGCATTATGGGAGAAATATGTAGTCAGTGAAGTGTACTGTCATATGAACAGGGGGTACATGCTAGTAACAATACACTATTTCTTTATATTGAAGATTTGTAAGTTAAAAGTAAAAAAAAATAGAAGTAAAAATAAGAATAATGTGCGTACTTCTTAGCCTAAGCACTACCAAATACAAAATTACCTGGATCACTTGTTTGTACTGCCTGTGCACTATCTGTAAAAATAAGAAGGATTACAAGAATATGCCCATGATGAACCATATTTAGCAATTAATAATATACAAGTAATTTAAGTATGAAGAAACTTATTAATAGATATGTGTTGTGAGCAAAAGGTAACCTGCTGTACATTTACCTTCTGCACTGCAGGTAAATTCTCAAAATACGACCAGGGCATAATATTTATTTTTGTCATTTTAATTTAAAAATGTTTTCCAAATATGCTTGGGCATTTGTTTTTAAATTAAAAGTTAAAACAAGTCTAGCGCTGTGCA